CAAAATCTTTTAAGTGAAGAAACCCCATGCAGCGATAAAAGATAAAAATGATTATACCTAAGCATAGTTGCGGACACACTAATCTCTCTATTCTTTTATCTAAGTGATCTGTTGACATCTACAAAGTTGACTTTGACTTTATCTTTGACTTCATCAAATCAACAGGATCTTTGCCAGAGTATTTCAATAAGATCTTCATCACTTTCAAAAACATTAACTAGAACCATTTTTATCGATACATACTCGAATTAATCGATTATTTTCACTAAAGGAGTATTTGAAAACCTTCTGCCAGTATTTTAACTGATATAACTTCGAAATAATTGATTAAAATCACTTAAGATGTTTTGAAAAGTGTTCTGACAGTATTTTAATTGATGTAATCTCGAATTAATCGATTAAAATGACTTGAGATATTTTGAAAGATCTTCTGCCAAAATTTTAATCGATGTAAAATCGAATTAATCGATTAAAACAACTTAAGGGAATTTTTGCCAAGTGTTTTAATCGATTAAAACTTGTTGTTATCAGTTAAAATCACTTAGGAAGTTTTGTGAAAATATTTGACAGAATATTAATTGATTAAACCGTGAATCAATCGATTAAAACAACTTAGAGAAATTTTGTTTAATTGTTTTAATCGATTAAAACATTGTCGCATCAGTTAAAATAAATCTAAAAAATGATTAAGCACATTTTAACCGATTAAAAGAATAATTAATCGATTAATCAAGATTTAATAATCGATTAAAAGACTATTTAACCGATTAATTAAACCAGTTAGTTGGAAAAAGACTCTATATAAACAGGATTGCTTCATAGTTTTAAAATATATCTTTTAGCAATCAATCAAGCAATCATAAGAGATATTTTCAAGAAAGAAGCGCACAAGTTTTTGTGGAGTTTTACAAAGTTCTTTCTTGAGGCATTTTTGCTTTCTTTTGTGAAGAAACTCATACTGCAGGGGTTGCATAAATAGGGTTTGATTGTTCTAGTTTTTTCTCTTTGTTTCTTTGCATTTCTTTACTGTATTGTGGGTGTCTAGAAGTATTGTGCACTGGTTTTGTAGTTGGAATTTGGCTGCAAATTGGTTTAAGAACTGGAAATTGGTTCTTAGTGAAGGTTTAGGTGCAAGAATTGGAATTCGGCTCTTGTGGTAGATTGGGTGTTGTGAGATTCATAATTGTAATCTGTAATACATTCAATCTAGTGGAATTCAGCTGAAATTTGGCTAAGAACTGGATGTAGCCCTGTGATTTGGGTGAACCAGTATAAATCTGGTTGTCTTTCTCTAAACCTTTTATTCTGCTTGTGCTTTATATTGAACTGCTTGTTTTTCTTGATTCAAAACTTGATCAGAATTCATAATCTTTAAAATAGATAATCTATATTCTGTAAATTGCAAAAATCTTTCAAAGATCAATTCATCCCCCTCTTGATCTCAACCTACATTACTAATAGAATGAAGCCCATTTTGCGTAGAGTGGAATCATCAATCTCATTCAAAAATTTGGGTGCCTCCACATATTCACCTATCAAGTCAACTACAAAATGCTTAAAGAAGTTATTAATGAGCATGACATAAGGAAGACGAAAACCACTTAGTCTGTTAGCTTTAATCATGTAATCTTTGATCACATAAACCCAGTTGACTATGATATTATTCTAAATGTAGTACATCAGAGTCAAATCTCCTTCATTTAGGAGAACATGGTTGCTTTCCCTGGGTTTTAATTGTTAGAAATACAGATTGAGATCAAGAGGGGGGGTGAATTAATCTAATTAATAACTTTTTGCAACTTTTGAATACAAATTATAAATTTCAAAGATTGAAGAACCCAACCAATTCTTGAACCAAATAACAACAATCTTGAATGAAAGAAAGAGATGAAAGAAAAGCAAGAACACCAAGTTTTATATTGGTTCACCCAATCCACTAGGTTACATCCAATTCTCAACAAAATTCTAGTTGAGTTCCGCAAATAAAAAATCGCTTGATTGCAAGAACAAATTGCAGAAAGATAATTTACACCAAGAACTTTTACTCAGTTCTTGATCCTATGACAACAACCAAAATTTCAGTTGTTAAACCAGTGCACACACTTCCAGACACCAAAAATACAATGAAACAAATGAGAATTGAGAAACCATAAGAAACTAAAACAATCAAATCAGTATGCAGATGCAAAGATCCAACCATAGAATGAGTTTCCTCAAAAAACAAGCACAAAGAGCCTAAAGAAAGATTGCTAAAGAATTCTAATGAGAAATGCGTGTTTCTGTCTTGGAATAGGTCTTTAAAGATTGTTTGATTAATTTCTCAAAGATGTGTTCTGAAATGTTGGATAAAATCTGTTTATATAAAGATTTTTTTAACTAACTGATGTGATTAATTAATTAATTCGCTCTTTAATCGATTAAAATAACATATCTTAAATGAATTTAACTAATGAAAAATTATTTTAATCGATTAAAAGGTTCTACCAATTTTTCCAAAACGTTTTAACCGATAAAAACGCGGTTTATCAATTAAAACTATGATACAAATTTTTTTAAGTGTTTTTAATCGATTATTTCAAAGTTATATATCTATTAAAATTCGGCAATAAGTTTTTAAAACTTCTTAAATGATTTTAATCGATTATTTCGAAGATATATGAGTTAAAATTCGACATGAAAATTTTCTCAAAAACTAAATAAAGTTTTAAAACTTAGGAAACTATTGGAAAAATAATTAGTTGAATTATAAATAATAATTAATGAGGATTAAAATCGTTAAGTATATTTAAAAAGCCTATTAAATATATTTTTTACTATTTACATTAAAATATTTTGATTAAACAAAGATTTTAAGTGTAAATAATATGTGTACAATATTAAACATTTTGGAAGAAAAAAATTAATTTTGAATGATTTTATGTGATAAATGAAATATATGAAAGAAAAAAAATCTAAAATATTTACATCTATAATAAAAAAATCAACATATTATTTCGCTTTTATTTTACACATTTTTCTATCTTTATTATTTTTAATTTACAAAATTATATAAGAATAAAATGATATTTTTTACTTATTTTTAATATTAAAGAAATATAAAAATAAATTAATTTATTTTTATCTTTTATTTTTTTCTTAAACAAAAATAAATTATTATTATTATTATTATTATTATTATTATTATTATTTTCTAATATTTTGCCCTAAACCTTAACAAAACCATAATCCTTTACTATAACTCCTAATCCTAACCTCCTCAAATAACCTATAATCTCTAATTAATAATTAAACATTCTAAATCATAAATTCTAATTTATACCCATAACCCTAAATCCTACTTATAAAGGCTAACCTCTAAAACCTTTATTCTTACAACAATAAATACCTTAAACCTCGAAAACCATAAATTCAAAATTTTAAATCCAAAAACTCAAATCACAGACCCTAAAACCTACCAACCCTAACATATAAGCTTGAAATACTAAAACTTCGAACTTGAACCTTAAATCTAAAATGAACCTCAAATACCAAATCATAAACTTCAAATCCCAAATCCTTACCTTTAATTATATATATATATATATATATATATATATATATATATTATTTTTTTTTTTTTTGCCTTAGAAAGTTCATTTGATTTTTATTTCATTTTTTTTTCTAATTTTTGGTTGGCATGAATCTACAATAAATTTTATGATTGTTATTATTTTAACCAAGAATTGTTTTCTCAATTTTGTTTATTATAACATTTAATTTAAACATGTATGTTGTTTATAATAAAATTAATGATTTTAAATAAAAAAATATTGGTTGTGTAAATTTTATAAAAACATTATTTTGGGTAAGATTGTAAAGCTAAAGGATTAAAATAAAAATATTTAAATATAGAATATCAAAATAAAAATTACTAAAAGGACTACAATAATATTACACATTAAATTTCTATTTTTGTTTACTATTATGCCCTCGTCTGTTTGACGGAGTTTGAGTTTTCCACTAATATTGTTTTTATTTTTATTTTATGTCTTTTTCGCATTCTAATAAATGCTTTATTTTATTTTATGTTATCTGTGAAGAATTGCAATGCTATTTTGATTAGAAGGGTGAGGGCAAAAAGTCGGAACCACCGGGAGAGCAGGGCTTCACACAAAGAATTGCGCGGTTGCAGTAGTCAACGCCCCCGGGATTCCGAATTCCAGACCAACCACAAGAGGCGGAGAGAGTTTACGCCTTTAAAGAGAAGGACAACACCATTCGGTTTGGCTTGCAATACGTTGTCGACTGGGAGTACTTATATTTCATCGCTTTCGTGTTTTTCCCTCTTCCTGTCCTCGCATTTTAGCTAAATCTAATAATTCCAGTGTTTTTCTCGTTGGAAGATCAATCAACTGAGCTTTGAGATGGTGAAGGAGACGGAATATTATGACGTGCTGGGTGTCATCCCTACGGCATCCGAAGCCGAGATCAAGAAAGCCTATTACATGAAGGTACCAGTCTAATTTTTCGATCGTTATTCTTTTGTGCGCTTTTGTTCTCTCTTCATATGCATGAATGCAATTAATAAATTGATTATCTGACTCGATGATACGGTATTACGCTGAGATACGAAACTATGTTGCTTTGCAAGCTATCTTAAACCTCAATATGCCCGTCTAATCCCATTTAGCAGTTAAAATAGACAGAAAATAGCAGATGCGTATGTCCTATGGCTGGATCTGTCCATTTTGTTGCTTTCAAAATGAGATGTTTACTCGCGTTGGTTGGTTGCACTATCAAACACTGGCTAGCTTATATACGATCAAGTTGAAATGCTTGTACTTCCAATGGCAGTCTAACTTTGTAAATCTGAAATATTACTTCATAGTGTCTTCTTTTGTGCATTGTTTAATATTTTGATGATTATCATCTATTACCAAATTTTAAGATAAAACCTAGTAGTAGTTTGATCATGTTTTTTACATCTTTTCTTCTATACCTTATGTGCAGGCAAGACAAGTGCATCCGGATAAAAACCCAAATGACCCTCTTGCTGCACAAAATTTTCAGGTAAGAATGTTATGTTTCAGTTTTTGACTATTTAAAATTTAAAGGCACTGAATGCAATCTGACTTGGATTGTCTAGTTAATTGATGAAAAAAACTTTTCTCTATGTAAGAAATTACTTAATGATATAAACATAGTAGCCTTGCACCTGGAAGTAAGTGAATCCTCACGCAACTAATTACAAACTTCAACTTACTTTTCTTGCCAATATGACCATTAAGTCAAACCATATTTCTCAAAATCATATTCATGTGAAACATAGCATAACGCGCATTCTGCCATTCGAGTACCAGTCAATCTACAAGTCATATCTTGGAATTCACCTATTGGGATTTTCCTTGTTGAATATGAACATATACACCACCAAATGCTTTTTATTGAGTTTTACATTGTTCTTCTATTTCTTATTATCAATTTTCCCAGTGCATGTGTCAGACATGTCTTCAACAAAATAGGTAATATCATGATATATTAATACCATTATTCTTCATTCCGCTGCTTTTTTATTATATATTATGTAGAGCTTGAATTTCAATATTGTTAAGCTACTTTTATCTCCACAAGCTATGCCCTATATGTTCGATACTCTGGTTTTAGGTTTTAGGAGAGGCTTACCAAGTTCTAAGTGACCCAGCTCAAAGGCAAGCTTATGATGCGCATGGAAAATCAGGAATTTCAACGTTAGTTTCCTTTTTTTTTTAATTATAATATTACTTAATAGTTGAATATCAAGCATGATAGAATGTTGAAATTTGTGATGTTGTAAAGGGATTATAGCATTTTTGTGTAAAAACATTTCTCTTGTGCTGATTTATGTTTTTTATTCATTCTTTTCAGTGAAGCAATTATTGATCCTGCAGCGATCTTTGCTATGCTTTTTGGTAGTGAACTTTTTGAGGAATATATAGGCCAATTAGCCATGGCATCAATGGCTTCAATGGACATTTTTACAGAAGGAGAACAATTTGATACTAAAAAGTTGCAAGAGAAAATGAGGGTAAATAATATATATATTTTTTTTAACTGCATTCTCTTCTGCCTACTTTTATATACATGCTTGTATCCTGTTAGAAATATAATAGGACAGTTGTAGTACCTTCAATGGGAAGGGGAGTATCATGTAGTTAGGACGATGATTTATGCCTAAAGTATGTCTACTTTAGATCTCTATCCTTTCTAGTGATCAAGATATCCCAAGAGAGACTTGTCAGTTGTTGGTCTACCCCTATCTTTTCTTCTTGTTTGTTTGGTCCGTTGGCTTGTTCTCAGATCTCAAGTTTAGTAATGTTGTGAATAGGTTGATTTTATCAATCCTGCACCTCATTTTTCAAAAGTCTTAACCCCTTTTTCAATTTCACCTTAGCTCCAATCCAAGTCATCTTATCTAAAAAGCCAGTAGCAAGACTCTAGCAACCCATCTCTAATCAGCAAGCATGTGAAGGTGGGAATAGATTCTATCGGGTGGCCAGTCATCATAGTCTGAACTTGAAATCTTTCATAGGCTCATCTCATCGATTGACATTTGATCCTGCTCATTCATAGATAGTTGACACTTTTAGTCATAGGCTATCAGCCCATTATGTTCCCAATTCACATTCTTCTTTTTTTTTTTCCCCTAGTTATGTTCCTTTTCTGTTAATTTCACCATCACCTTTCATTTTTTTATTTTTTTCTAATTTATTATTTTTTTCCTAGATTGATAATGAATGTGCAATTATTAGTAAGAATTTACCTAATATAAAAGTATTTAAATAAACTATAATAAAATTCAAATATAAGGTAAAAAACTTTTTACAGTTCATAATAGGACACTGACATAGGCTTGCATCTCTGCAAACATGATAAGTTGTCATTTGATTCCAAAACTAAGGGTCTAGTGATAGTGTTATTGAAGTGTTGCCCTTGCACCTGCCACTGCCGCTTCAGCTGCCTCTGCCTCCGGAGCCGTCGCCGGAGCTGCCGTCTTAATTATAAATATATTAACCTATGTGTATTTTAAAACACAAAAAGATAATTAACCCTATACCTAGTTTTCACAATATTCAACACATTTTAAAAACTGTTTTTAGTTTTTGAAATCATTAATAGAATCTCTGCAAAATCAAGCAGTTCATGCTTCACCACATGATCCATACTCTTGCTGTAGGACCACAAAACAAAAGAAGAGAATGAGAGAAAATCTTCTAGCTGTTTAATTATTACCAGTTCAGCACCAATTAAACCATTGAATTCGTTTGTGTCAGTTTGAATGAAACATTTATGGTCACATGGACTCAATGACTCGGTAGTTAACTCACAAGTTTGCTTGGGTTTGCCAAAGTCTACTTCATAGAGTTTACATGCAAGTTAACTTGTAGCCACTCTCTTGACTTGTAAACACTTCCAAGTTTGTGAGTTAACTTGAGTTTGAAAACCATGATATAATGTATATAAGAATACTATCTCTTTTATTTTGTATTCAGCGCATATAAAACAGACTTTGTTGTATAGTTCAGATGCACAGTTTCAGCATCTATTGCATTTGATTTTCTGTCTTTGTTGTATAGTTTCAACGGATTTTGTTGTATAGTTCAGATACACAGTTTTAACAGATGTTTTATGCAAGCAATAGCTAGTCCATCTTTGTTTTATTTCCAAAAGTTTGACATGCCATCTTGAAGGAATTAAATATTTATCCTTTCTTTGCTGCAATTTTTTTTCATTGTTGTTTTGACAGAATTATTCTTCCTACAGGTTGTTCAGAAGGAAAGAGAAGAAAAGCTTGCAGAAATATTGAAAAATAGGCTGAACCAATATGTCCAAGGAAACAAAGAGGACTTTGTTAATCATGCAGAAGCTGAAGTAGCCCGGCTATCCAATGCAGGTACTGTTCCCTAAGAATAATTTCAAGTGTGCAGAGAACATATCAGTACATGGTTACATCTCATTTTGATGCGATTAGGGTCATATCAATTGCGGTTGTAAAAGTCATTGAAATACAAATCGTGATATGGTAGAAGATTGACTTACAAAATTTGTCTAATCTCAAGTATTTGAATATCAAACTAACCTTAGCTGGACTGTCACAATGCTTTTACTGAATTAATTTGTTGTCATTATACAGCTTATGGGGTTGGTATGTTGAATACCATTGGCTACATATACGCAAGGCAGGCTGCAAAAGAGCTGGGGAAGAAAGCAATTTATTTGGGTGTGCCTTTTATTGCTGAGTGGTTTAGAAACAAAGGGCACTCTATTAAATCTCAAGTTACAGCAGCAACGGGTGAGTAAACGTTGGACTGTGATATGGTTCTTGATGCTGATCATGTGATTAACTTCATATCATGTCTTAATTACTTTCCATGTTGGGTGTTACTTGAAGCTCGGTGGATTGAATTGACCACCCATAGTGACTTAGGTAAAACAGTGAACGTAGGCTTTTGTGGCAAAGTATAGTTCATATAAAAAAACTGAAAGACAAATGTGCTCTATTTATGGCATAATTCAAGAGTAGTCGTTAAATTCCAATTTATCCTCAACCCCAAATTGAATCTTCTCTTTGTCTTTCCTTTGTGTTGAGGTCAATGTTGCACTTGCTTTTTTTCTTAAGCTCCAATAACAATCTCACCACTTGATGGTTGTTTTCTTTTATTGCTTTCTTTTCTCTTTGTATAAGTTATTGGCTTGCCAAGACTCGAGGCTTCATTAACAGTTGCCCATTAAAGAGAGAGATCATCATCAAAAACCAACTCATTCCCCCATCTTCATTATCATCATCCACTTACCCCATTAATCACTCACTACACTCATCAATATCATTGAGTAAAATAGGATCAATTTCATCTTTACGGTCAAGCAAGTTGTTGGTTGTACTTGATAATAGTTATACTTGATGTAAACCAAATTATATAATTTTTTACGGTCAAGCATGTTTCTCTTTTTTGAATGAATCAACATCATGAATAAGTAAAATGATAATTAGTTTCTTCCTACTTTGTAAAAAAATTAAAAATAACAATGACAATTTTTACTTGCTCAAACACACTCCAACTGCGTTTACATCTTGATGAGTTACATGTCAATCTTAAAATTTTGATTGCTAGCCTTTGTGAATTTGGAGTTGTTTGATCTTAATTGTTTTACCACTGAGCTATAAAACAAATAAAGTAACTTACAATTTAAACATTATAACTCAAAGCAATTTAGAACACTTAGGAGTGTGTAACTGGTTCATAAGGAATTGTGGTCTTCTTTAATTCTTAGGCAAAGTATTCACCAACCCCTATACCCTAAACCCATCACCAATTTCAGTTTTATAAAGAAGCAACTCAATTGAATTTTTTGTTACACATATTTGCTTGCAATCAACCTCAGATGCAAGCATACAATCCATTAGTTACCTCCTCATATTCCATTTTTGGATTGAAATAATAGAATTCTAGGTTTAAAAAGTGACCCATTGCATGTAATGGGTGATGAAGTTGGCAAGTACATCTATTATCAGTTATTGTAAATACATCCCTGTGTTTACTTTCATTCTTATTGAAAGACTTCATCATGGTTTCCTTTTGGCCTTCTTCATTGCTTCCTAGATGTAGCCCATGGCTACTTTTCTTTCTCCATCTACAAGACAAAGTTTACGAATAAGAGGAGCCATAACTTTAAGAGTAAAAACAACATGATTCCAAAATGAAGGCATAAGAACAACTTTTGAAGCTTCCCTCCCCTTCGCTTCCTTAGACAACTTGTTCTTGCTTCATTCATCATAAGTGAACATATTTCTCAAATTTCCTTTCTCTTGATGAAGCCTTTCCAATTATAAATAAGAGGTAGCAAATCTTGTAACCGCATGTCTTACTAATTCCTTCTTTTTTTATGAATTGTCTTAGCAAAATCAAGGTACTAAATTGACTATATATAAAGCCAACAAAACTAACTCCCCTTTGAATTGTCTTCTTTATTAAAGGAAGTTTTTCAATGTCTTCAAGCATCAAGTATAAGCAATGGGCAGCACAAGGAGTCTAATATAAAGTGGGTCTTTTCTACTTAAACAACTTGCCATCATAATTGCTTCCTTTATTTGTGATGACTTGAATAACATTCTATTCTCCGATCTCCTCCACAAGGGTATCAAGCATCTCATAAGTTTTTCATCTGTCTTCACAAATTTGGAGTCATCAATATACACCACAAACATTGTCTCTGTAGGAGAGTTTACCAAAAAGTTAATCAAGCATCTTTGCTTTTGATCATTTCATGCATTTGACATAATACAACAACCATGTTTGGGGTTTATGATCGTTTAACAACCTTTCAGTGTAATCCATCTCCTTGTTGAGGAGTGGAACTCTAGTTTCATGATAGGTAGGAGTTAATAAATATGGACCATAAGCTCCAATAGCATCAATCATGTCTTGAAAACTCTTCAATTAAACAAGATTGAACGACAAACCTGCATGTTACAAAAACCAAGGAATATATTGATGAACTAATGCCTTCAATTTTTTGTCACATGCCTTTTTGATATTAGCTTGTCTTAGTTTTTCCTTTTTATTCTCTTCTCTAATGCAAGATCACGATTCGTAAAAAACATATCCATCGATCCTTTTTTGCCATCATTTTTCTCCATTTAATGTTATTATCAATAGAAAATTCAACTTCATCTCCACTTTAGTAAGTGCCACCAATATCTACATTATCAATAGAATTTACCAAAATGGCTTCCTTCTCTCTATATTATTTACAAGGCTCTTCTTTAACATTTTTCGGAGCCTTGAGCCAAGGTGCAACATTGTCCTTCTAATAATTCCTCCTTTCATAATTTTTCCCCATTAATTGCAAACAACAATGTTTAAGTTAGATTCTCCAATGGATGACTATATTTTCAACCAAGGCCATTCCTGGTAGATGTTCTAAAACTACCTTGTTCACTTGCCATTCGTGTTGTTGGAAAATAGATGATAAACATTTTCAGAAAAAAAAAAAAATAAAAGAAAAAACTGGAATTCAATGAGGAAGAATGAAAATAAAAATAAAAAACAAAAGGAAAGGAAAAAAAAGTAGAAAGAAAAAAGGGGTTGAATCATGGAAAAGAAAAGAAACAAAAAAGCCACCAAGTAACTTCGTGGAGTTGGTAGCGGCAGTGGAGGGCTGCAGTGAGAAAGTATCTCTTGTGAGATTACATGGCTTAGACAATTCCTCCAAAAATTAATATTTGAAGGCACTCAAGAAACTCCTGCGACAATGAAGTTGCAATTCACATTGCTTCAAATCTTCTAGTTCATAACAGAAATCATCACTAACTTTGTTAACTCCAATAGCAGTCATGATCCCCAAACCCCTAAATGGCCCTTGTTGATAGCATATACAGCAAGTTTGGCTCATGTAACATATGTACTCTAGTTTGAGGGAGAGTGTTAAAGATTTGATTTGATAGGGAAATATCTTACCGAGTATTTCTCATTATTAGGTGTTGATTTTGTTCCTTATTATTGTATAACCACTTTCTCAACTTTTGCTTCTGATCTTTTTACATTCTTCCACTTCTTTTAAATAGAGATTTTTTTTCCTCCCCAATAATCCCCGTTGATATTTTTCTCAAACTAATTATCTATTTTGTTTTGGCACTCGGGCTTCTTAATGTGAAAAACATTGCGCAGGAGGTTGATAATTTTTTTCTTTGCGGTGGTTGTAGGGGCAATAGCTCTAATCCAATTGCAGGAGGATATGAAAAAGCAACTCAGTTCAGAAGGGAACTATACTGAAGATGAGCTTGAAGAATACATGCAATCTCACAAGAAAGTAATGATTGACTCTTTGTGGAAGCTTAATGTGGCGGACATTGAAGCCACTCTTTCCCGTGTTTGTCAAATGGTTGTTTTTGTTACACCAATGTCACTTTCATTTCGGGTAGTAGATTTAAGGGATAGCTATGTTTAATTTAGACCCTGTGTGCTTCGCTTTAGGTTCTTCAAGACAGCAGTGTCAAGAAAGAAGAACTCCGTGCTCGAGCTAAAGGGTTGAAAACTCTTGGTAAAGTCTTCCAGGTGGTATTTCTTTCCCTACTTTTCATAGAACTTTTTAGCAACATTGTATACTGATTATAAAATGATTTTGAATTCACGATTCAAATTTAGAGGGTTAAGTCAGCCAATGGAAACGAAAATGAAAGTGCACCAAATAAGGCAGTGCACAAGTTGAATGGAAATGAAACTAGCAATGATGTTCGTTCTCCTAGTACATCACCCAAATCATCAAGTCCTGATTTTTCAACTGATGCTACATTTGCATCTCAGGTGAAGTTTTTCCACCGATCCTTTAATTCTTTCTTTTCAGTTGGTTAGATCACCTTGTCTTTTCATTCTATTTTTATACAATTTAAGCAAATTTTTCTTTCTATTTCTTTTACGTGAATGTAAATATTTATAGTGACATGTTATATTTGTTTTGATACAAATGAATGTAGAGCCCCTACGTGGAGGCCCCACATTTCGCTGGCATGCAATTTGATTATAACTTTCCTAGGCCAACCGCCCCCCCGGGTGCCCAGAGACCTACTTCAACCAGCAAGGATTGTTAAGTTTGATATCCCGTGTGTAGTTTTCTATTTTATTTTATTTTGTGGTGGTGGGGAGGGCCCTGGTCGAATTTGCCTGTATCCGGGTGTTATTGTATGTATCACTCTTATCGAATGTGCCTGTATGTGCTGGAGATCGCATCCTTTCGGCGGGGACCTCATTGTGCAGTGTGGTTTTGCATGTCTAATAATTCTATGCATAGATGAGGGAAACATGATTTAAAGTAGTGTTATTATCACTGCCAGCTGGCCGTGATTGACTGCCATGTATTTTGTCTCGTGTTGGGGTGCCTGCACTTAGGTTACATTTTAAGTTTATTTTTTTCGTAAGATGTAGCGTGATGTCCATTTTAGAAGGGATTCAGGTATATTAACAAAATTCAACAAACATGATATATTTGTTTTGGTCATAGTTTAGTTCATGTGGGGTCACGTATCCCTCCAATTATGAGTGTGTAAGTATGATCTTGTTTTGGATTAAATATCAAAGGGAAATGGTTGATTTAGTTTAATTTTTAAGTTTTCAAACATAATTTTAGTCATCGATTTTAAATAACTTTTTTCAAAGTATAAAATAATTACTTGATGGAAAATTGTTTTAGACTACCGTATTCTCACAACTTATCAGTTTTAAAAAGTTGAAAGAATTAAAATCGTTTTATAAGGAGTAATAAACAAACCATAAATATGTATGAGATATTTAACAGTGGACGAAGTTGTTTGCAAAATAATAGCCACTGAATCAGTATGGATATGGCTACGGTTTGGAGGGTAAATAATTTTCCCTGCCATGTAGGAAACTAATTGTGTTTATTTGATTAAAACATTTTTAAATTAATTGCTTGGAGGGGATATAGTTTCTCTATTTTGCCAAATTTGAGGAAGATGAAGAGGATAATGACGAAGAAGGCGATGAAAATGTCACATGGAAGTTAACTCTGAAGATATAGCAAATTTGCGTTGCAAGATGGAGAGGGCTACTTCCTAGCATTGAGAGAGAAATTGGATTAGCTTGATTTATCAGCGACAAATTGGAAATTTGAAAAAGAAACTTAGTCATCCATTTAACAATCAATATAACTTTTATTGAAAAATCTCATTGTATTGCACTACTTGTAATGTGTTGAACATAATTTGGTGCATAATAAAAAACCAGGGAACTACTATGTAATTGCGATGATAGAGTTAAATAGTGAATGACGAAATTAGTTTATCTCACCAGAGTATTTTTAATGGCAAATGCTTGAGAGCTACTTAGGGTAAGTGATTGTTATTTAAAGCAAATTTTTCGGGTGTGGCATAATATTTAGAGTTGGTCAAAAATATTTTGAATTACTTAGGTAATTTTCTTAAAAATATATATATATATATATATATATATATATATATATATATATATATATATATATTCAAGTTTGATTAAAAAAAATATCAAATTTAAGAATTTCTTTCATTAGAGTAAAATATAAATAATGTGATATAGGAAAATTTACAAATCACAGGAAATATTATACTAAAATCTAGTTCAAAGTTGAAAAAATAAATAAATCAATATATTAGACTTACAAATACACAAAATAGTGTAACATTCTCACGTATATATTATTATACTTACAATAAATAGTATAGAACTAATTTAAAAATTCATTATAAATAAAATCATATGTCAATCTTAAATATCAAATATAAATTGTAATTTTTAATAACTATAATTCATTTTAATATATTAAAAGTTTCATGTTACTTAAGAAGATAACTTATAAATATATTGTTATCTTAAGTTGCTAAACTCAAATATATCTTAAAAGTACATTAGAATAAAAAAATTGTAGTAAAGTCAAATTGAGCTAAAATTAAATAATTTCTCATATATGATAACTCACCTTAATCAATACATAGGTTATTATGTTACTAATAGGGGAGGGTTATTAGAAGCATCTCAAGCCCTAACACTATACTTCTTTACTTTAGAGTTATATGTTTTATAATTTTTCTTTCGACTTGTAATCTACTTAGACTAGCATAATATGTTCTCTTACTCTTTTAATAAACAAAGTAGAATCAATTTGTCCTATTGAGAAATCATTTGATATTAAAAAATTGCTTAATCTTTCGTACCATGATCTAGGAGTTTGTTTTAATCTATAAAGTGCTTTCTTTAATTTAAAGATATGATCAGGATGTTTAAAATCTTCAAATCCTGGAGGTTGTTATACATAAACATCTCTTTAATAAAACCATTTAAAAAATTATTTTTCACATCTATTTGATACAATTTAAATTTAATCATTGAAGCATAAGCAAGAAGTAGGCATATAGCTTCTAACCTGACAATAGGAGCATAAGTTTCATCATAATCTATACTTTCTTCTTGACAGTACCCTTTTGCCACAAGTCTAGCCTTATTCTTGGTTATGTTTCCATCTTCATCAAGTTTGTTCATGAATACCCATTTAGTTCCAATTACTTGATGATGTTCTTCTCTTGGAATCAATTCCTAGACTTGATTTCTTTCAAATTGGTTTAGTTCTTCTTGCATTGCAATGCACCATTAATCATATTTGAGTGTTTCCTCAATATTTTTTGGTTCAATTTGTGAAACAAAAGTTACAGATATACAGAAATTAGTCATATTTCTAGTACTTACTCCTTTTGAGATGTCACCAATTATATTGTCAATTGAAATTCTTCTTGGTGATTGCCACTCTTTTGCCAATTTAGTTGGTTGTGATGGTTCATTTTCATTTAAGCACATATCTTCTAATGCTTCCCTTATGACTCATCATCACCTGCATATTGTTTACTTGACTCAAGAGGATTTTCCTCAAGGTCTACAATTTCATCAAATATAACATGTACAGATTCTTCAATATTCAAAGTTCTTCTATTAAATACCCTATATGCTTTGTTAGAAAGTGAATAACCTAAGAAGATAGCCTCATCGGCTTTTGAATCAAATTTACCTAAATTGTATTTACCATTATTTAATACAAAACATTTATAACCAAAGATTTTCAAGTGATTTACATTTGGTTTTCTTCCTTTAAATAGCTTATAAGGAGTCATTGTCAAGATAGGTCTAATGAACATTCTATTTAAAACATAACATGCAATACTTACAGCATCAGCCCAAAAATATTTAGGAACATTAGATTCATTCAACATTGTTTTAGCTAGTTCCTCTAGTGATCTATTTTTCCTTTCAACTACACCATTTTGTTTGGGGGTTCTAGGTGCAGAAAAATTATATAAAATACCATTCTCTTCACAAAACTTTTCAAAATATTCATTTTAAAATTTGCCACCATGGTCACTTCTTAACACTTTAATTCTTAATTCCTTTTCTTTTTGAATTTGAATAGCAAACTTTCTAAATGCCTTAAAAACTTCACTTTTCAAAGTTAAGAAAAATGTCCAAGTAAATCTACAGTAATCATCAATAATTACAAGAGCATAATAATTTCCACCAAGGTTGTGATAGAGGCATGGTATCCACGTTGGGAACGTCGAAGGTGATCCACCCGGCATCAAACAACTTTTGGACCTTATACTTCAGGGTCATACAATTCTCCACGGAATGCCCAGGAGCGCCTGAGTGGTAGTCACATTTTTTGTTCGGCTTATACCAATCAGGGTAGGGTGGATCCATCCTCTTCGGAGGGACACGTACTAGGAGGTTGGCATCTACCAGCTTTGTTAGCAGACTCCCATAGGATGTTGGAAGGGGAGTAAATTTTCTCTCTTGATTCCTCGACTGCCTGTAGACCCCTAATTTTGCCCGGCCTCTCAAAATAAAAGCTAGGGAAACTTCATACAGTTCACCCGGCTTCATATCAAAGAAAAACCGAGAAAGACCTCCCGCAACAAACACGGAGTTCACTCATTCACACGATAAAGGACAAAGAAGACTTCCTATACAGAGATAAAACTCGCCCGACATTTCAAATAAAGGCCAAGAAGACTTCCTACATGAAGATAAAGCTTCAACGGACACATATCGGCATCAACTGACGTCCAAAACAGGCAAGGAAAGCTTCCCGGGGTCCCAGAACACGAAAATTGGACAAAACAGGCCGGACCACGGTCCCAAAGTGGGACGGCCGTCCCAACTGCAATTAAGCAGCTGGGACGCGCGTCCCGAATGTGGGACGGCCGTCCCAAACCCGGCTTAGTGGGACGGCCGTCCCGGCCTTCCCTGGGGTCCCGTTCGTGTAAATTTGCCATTTGGGACGGCCATCCCAGTCCGGACGGCCGTCCCAACCCGCACGGCCGTCCCAAAGTGCGCCAGCTGCGAAAAACTATAAATAGGAGGCTCATTTGCCACTTTTTCACACCACAGACACTCCGAGAGCTCGAAACACTTTAGAGCACTTGTCTACTTCTCTCTCTCTCTCGAATGATCTTTCCGATTGCCTTAAATAGGTAACAATCGGTTAAGGAATTATATTCCGGCATTTGATTCTTCTTTAAATTTTTAGTAGAGTCGATCTTGTATTGGTGAGGAGAGACCGTGTAGAGAGAGGGGTTGCCAAAACGCATCCTCACAGCTTCGAGGTTCTCAATATAAAGCTTGCTACGGAAGTTCTTTTCAATTCCCTTCTCTTTTATTGTTTTATTTATTATTTTATTGTTTTATTTAGCTTTATTATGTCATGTAGAATAGGATCATGTAGATAGCTATTTTAATATCTCTTTTATTGCTTCATTTAGCTTTATTCATCATTTTATACACGCAACATAGAATAAAATCATGTAGATAGCCATTTAATATTATGTAATAAAATAGGGTAATCGCATAATTTCTCGTAGTCTTTATTTAAATGAATTAATCTGTCATAGGGAACCCGAAAGGGGCGTTGTGGGGTGCTAACACCTTCCCCACACGTAACTAACTCCCTTACCCAACTCTGGTTATAATGGCCAAGTGCGGTTTTTCTTAAAATCAACATTTTTTCCTTTTCCAATGTTTACGGTCAAAACATTGGTGGCGACTCCATAAGAAC